CACATTTAAAATCATGGATGCCAAAATGGCACAATCCCAACTTGAAAATCACCATTGGGTGCTAAATCCTTTCGTAACCCAAGGGATAGGGTGCTTCGGTTGTCCCTTTTGGCTTCCCTTTAAAGATCCAACCAAAGGGAAGAACCAAAAAAGAACGACAGGCCCACACTTCTGCCATTTGCTTCAGCCCCCTAGAAAAAAACAACAGCAAAATCATATTTCCAGTAGTGAAATCGATTCCCTGAAAAAAACCAACAGGGGAAAACAACAAATCTTCATTTCAGCAAACGGAAGAATTTTCCCTTCCCTGGCAGAATTTGTGGTCAAGTCCCCGACCTGCGCTGGTCCTTGTGGCTTCAACACCCAACCAACCAAAAGGGGGGGTTCCATAAAAAAAAATCCCCCCCAAAAAAAAACAAACGCAAAGAGACAGATCCACAACTGTCCCTTCGCCCCTTCTCCTGGGGACCATGGCCCAGCTGCGGCTGAGTGGCCCAACTGCTCGCAGAGCGCCTCGCAGAAGCTGCAGCAGTTTCGGCGCAGCAGCTCGTAGCCTCGACGGTTCCACGGGGTGTCTTTGAGGGAAGATGTTCGGGACTGCTGAAACATGGGAAACCCCAAACAAAAAAATCAGAAAAAAAAAAGCAAAACATTTACTCGGTTGCTTTCTGCTCCCCTGCTAAAGGTTTTCAACTTTTAGTGGCTTAATACGGAAAACCCTAGTTGGCAAAAAGTTAAAGTCCTAACCTCCAAGCAAAATGCACCAAAGTTCATCCGGGTCCGGTCTTCTTTTCTTCTGGGGCCCTGGCTGCTGCCCGGCCACTCCGCCTCCATTTCGCGGATCAGCGCCAAAACCTGCGTAGTCAGTCTTACATTGACCCGAGTTGACGGGCCAGAAGCAAGTATCAAGTTCTTGGGGCCCTACTTAAAAAAGCTAAATAAACAATATAATAATATATATATATATGTATAACATAACAATAAAAAAGAAAAACAAACACTAAAAAAACTACTAAACAAAGTTTAGCGTTTGCCGACTCAACAGTTAAATCAGGGGTATTTATGAATCGGCTTGAACTCCCCAAAAACCAATGGCAGATGTTCGCACTTTCGCGCTTGGCGCCGATGTCTGGCAGTGCTCAACTCCGTAATAATGGGATGATGGAATTCCAGAACTCATTCTCAACTGGTCTTAAACAAGGGTACGACTCGTAGCCGTCGGGTGGACCATCGAAGGTATGAAGGGAGTCTGAAGCAGACTCCGCTGTTGAACATGGACATGAGGGTGTCCTTTCTGTTTCGGGAATCTTTCTCCATCGCTTTGGGCATTTACTTGTTCAGGGCAGCTTCCCAGCGGTGTGGAATGCACTGTTTAGGGCGGAATTAAGGTGGGATGCGCTTCAAGGCATTTTTTCTTTTTTCCTCCCCCAAAACTGCCTGGTTCTCAGTAGGGAATCAACGGCGGGTTTGGGAGTATCCCCTTAAAGGAAGCCACAAGGCATGTTTATTTTTCTTCTTCGGGTCATTCCCTAATTTCTCTGCCTAGTGAACCAGCAAGGAAAACGCGGAAGCCACGGTTCCCTGTCTCCACTGGCCCTGGCGCGCCTCTTCGTGGCTTTTGGCTGTGACGCCCATGGGCAACGCCTCCCGGTAGCTGTGGACGTTGCACTGCGCCGGAGAACACTCGAAGACTCCGGTGCCCCCGTCCTCGCTTTTGGGCTGGTTCTTGTAGAGGGGTGATGGGAAACCACCCCCTGACCTCCAAGCCACAGTAGCCAATCCAAACCACCAATTAGGAAGCTGACAGCGTTCTTTTTTTCCCGCTGCAACAGAAAACGGGTATGGAAACACAAAACATGTGGCTCGCTGTTGGGGAGACAAAGGATCAGACAAGCACAAACGCTTTGCCGCTTTGGGAGCGTACCTTTCTCTTGATACAGTTGAAAGTCGAGCAATCAAACAATTGCGTAGCTTCGCTTTAATCATCCCCTAGGAAGTTGTGTCTACTTTCACCCTGTAAACGGACGGAACAAACATTGCAACGGGATTTCATCCAAAGGCCAAAGCACAGGTCCTCGTTGTAGCCGAAGCTGTACTCCCGCCCGTAGATCTCCACCCCTGACGTCCGATTGCCAGTCCAGGGGCCCAACATGGGTGTGTCTTTCTTTAAACAAAAACTGCAAGATGGCTTCGGTTTTCCTCCTGACTTTCCAATACATAATAACTCGTCTCCTTTGAAACCTTAAAAAATGGTAGCCTCAAGAAAAGATGCACCCTTATGGATTTGAGATTAGACATCCGAAGCAACAGCAAACTCGGAAATTCTGGAGCCATAGCCTGGCAGGCAACCCAAAAGGCTCCCATCGTGATTAAAAACGCACACCTGCTGGCAAGGGTCAAAACCAATGGCTCCACCCAATAAAAAGTGGTGTTCGTGTTGGTATCCTTTTAAACCAACCCAAACAGACACCAAGACGTGCACCGCTCGCTTCCCTTGGCTTTCCCGCCTGCATGAAAGGCTCCAGTGCCGACCGCTCGGAAGACCCTAGCGGAGCGGAGGCGTGAGAATTCTCAAACGTTGGCTAGGTCCTCCAGTAGAGAGGTTAAAAGATAGGTACCAACTTGTTTCGTAGTCTTTTTAGTAGGGGAACCCTGCCCCCAAAAGAGGGGAGAGAAGGGCACTGGGGGACCTGAAAAGGGTCCAGTGCCGAAGGAATGGAGACTTAGGCGAGACTTATAGACCATTTCCTCACGGAAAGGACATGGCTTGATTAAAAAGGATCACCCGGCGCCAAAGCTGGGAGCCCACCCTGGGCTGAGTCAGGTTCCAGAACGATGCGTTCTGGGCGGATGGTTTAGAGAGGAAACCAAAACCGAACCCGGCCAAAATATAGACTGGCCCCATTGCTTTACCCTTATCGAAGTCACCCGCTAAGTGATTGCGTAAAGGGAAACACTGCCAGTTGCTGACTTGGATATCCCTCAAAAAGGAGTGAAACATAATAACCCTCAGAGAGAGGGCCCTATTTTTTAAGAAACCCTAACATCAAAAAGTCCTTTCACAACAAAAAAACAAACAGTGTGAACACGAAACCCTAAACAATCCACCAAAAAAACCCTCCCTTTAAGAGTTCAAACCCCTTTTTGGGCTCCTCTTGTGGAAGCATCCCAGCGATCCAGGACTTTGGTTCAATTCCTTGAGCCGCTCTTCGCTCCAAGGGATCGGCCGATTCAGCTGTTGCACCGCGTCGTGCCCCATGACGTCGTAGATGTGAAGCGTCACCGGCTCCATCGTCGGCTCCATCGCCTGAGATGAGAGACTTCCATTGAACTACGGCCTTCAAGGAAGTGTGTACATGAACAAGCAGGTGTTGGTTCAAAGTATCATCCATTCCCTTCTACAGTTTCATCCTCAATTGGTTGTCAGCAAGCTCAAGTTGCTTCGCGCATGAACAAACGGCAATCACGTTGTCTAGGTCAAGCTCTGGCCACGTAGGTTTTTCCCTGACATGTATTTCGGGCAGCGTCTGAAGCCAGGTAGCCTAGGGAAGCCATGTGGAAATTGATGCAAAGGTCCCACAAACATGTGATGACCACTGGTGGGACAATCAGAAATAAGATTTGATATGTCAACCATGTGATAACCATTGATTGGAAAACCAGTAAGACAATGTTTCAACCACATGGGACAAGATAGCCATGGTCATTTGGCGGAATATTGATCAAGCCCCGCGCCTTGCGCCGCCGCGCCAGCCGCTCCCGCGCAGTCATAGCGCCATCGGATCCGAAGCAACCCCCCCCCCGCCCGCCGGCTGGTCTTGGCCCGGCAAGTGGCTCCCCTGGTCTGACACTCGGGGTGACGATACGTTTGCTTTCAGGCTGAAGGTACAAGATGAGCAAGGGAGGCGTCATTGGCCTGAATGGTAATGTGGGGGTCCCTGTGGTACCCATGTCTTGCGGGCCAAAGGAACGCCACAGCAACCGAACGCGGATTGACTTTGACACTTTGGGACGCGCTCACCACCATGGGTAGCTTCGGTTCTGCCAGTCTCTCAGTCCGTAGGGCTTCGTCCTTCCCAACGCAATATGTAGGGTCAAATCCTCCTTTCTTCAGATACACTCTGGAACAATCTGGTCTCCCATAACCCCAAATCGATCATCAGGGAAGTGTTGATCGCGAACCTTTCATATTCTGAAGCGCAACTTGGTTGCCAACACTCAGGACTCTAACATCTATGAAGATAAACAGACAAAGCAAAAAACACGGGGGGGGGGGAAACAGAGAAAACGCGGAAGGCAAAAACACACATGCTGCTGCCGCCTTAGCCGGGCTTTCATCCTTCATTTGGAACCGCTGATGCCTATGACACGCCGGCAGGCCCGGGCTCTGAACCAGCGGCGAGAAAACAAAATAAAATACACAGCCGCGATTCACCTGCCGTTGCCGTTCTGCTCGAGGGGGGCAGAGGACGCCGCAGTAATCTACACTTTTCGGGCAAGGGATACCCTGTTGGCCAACACGGGGTCACAAGGTGAATGCGCCTCTTTCTCTTTCCACGCTCGTCCCTTCTTCTCTTTTACGAGTCCCTGCCTCAGACCTGGAACTCCACAGGTGCCATGGAATCCCAACCCCTCTCCTTGAAGGTTGTGGACATATGTCGTGGTCTTCCCCCCCCCAAAAAAAAACAAGGACCAAAACGGGTTGTGGGCTCTGGAAGCGGCAAATGGAAACCTGCACCTCCGTTGGAAGACTGTCGAGGTCATGCGTTCCGCTTGCTTCAAAGATCCAGAAAGGGATCCTTCCTTTCTCCTTTCCAGATATTCATGTACGCGCACGCTACGCTGTTAATCCACTTTCAAACTGGTTTATGCTCCCCGAACCACTATATATCCTTCTTTCAACAACCATGGAGTGGAGGATGGTAGAGTTCCAACCCCTACTGTCCACTTTGAAGATTGTTGGACATAGAAAACCCCCGAAGAAAACTATCCCCAACTGCCTCCTTCACCTGCTTCTGATGCAGACTCGAAGCGCGACAACGCCTCAAATGCAGGGAGCAAGCGCGAGTGACATGGGAATATCATTTATATGGGGATTTATGTCCATCCACAATTGTTGAGGGTGTTCCTGTATTCCCACCCCCCCACCCAGCGCCCCACCCCCCCCCAAACAAATAGTTAATAGTTGTGGCATCCCTTCCCACTGCCAAGTACCTTCAAAAACTGGGACAAAAGAATATAAAAGAATGCAGCATTCAAAGGTTTCAGAACCACACCCCTGGAAGGTGCCCCTTAAGGCAAACCTCAAAGGACTACACAAGGGGTAAGTTTAAGCCGGTACATGAGGTCACCCTGCCGCCAGGACTGAAGCGCCCGGGGCGAAGTCCATAGGGGCAAGAACAATGGCAATCTGGTCGCCCCTTTGGGCTCCCGATCGTTTTGGGTTTGAAGAGACTTTGAGGCTAGAGGTTCTCCACCAAATCCGGCGGCCTGCTTGGGAAATGAGGCACGGTGTGAAAGTGCGGTTCCTGCCAAGAACATGGTTGAACTTTAGATGTCCTTCCCCCGCATCCCTATCACCAAATGAGGACGAGCTCATATGTTTGCGCGATCATTCAAGCCGGTCCCGGGTCTTCGGGGCCCACTAAAAGGGGTGTCGCTAGCGGGGGTCTCTAAGCCTATTGGAAAGGGGCCCCCTGAAAACAGCACTGCCGAAGGAAGTTCACCCGGGAGTCAAGGAAGGGAAATCATATTCTATGTGGACTCCCTTGGAGGTACGCGGAAAGCGATCGAATCTAAACCAGCCAGCAGAAAAGTGCCGTCTAAACCACAACTGGGCCCAATGGAAAGGCGGAAAAATATGGAAACCCCCCCGAACTGGATTTACGCGCTCCTTTTCTTTTACCTGACCAACCTGAAGAAAAAAAGAGTACCTCAAGCCGCAAAAATCGAGCCACACAATTGGTGGCTTTAATAGTTGGAGCCCACAACACGGTGTCCGTTTTCCGCTTGGTCTCCTTCCAAACCTCCCCCAAAGCCCAAACACCAAAACCAGTCGAAAAAGCAATTTGGTAACCCTCCAAAAAAGTGACACACCTTCAACTTTGCATATCCTAACCCTCCAAAAAAGTGGCATACCTTCAAATTTGCATATGGGTGTGGCTCAAAATTAAAGAGCTGGGGTTACGCAGGTGTTGGTCTCTTTTTTTCCCGTGCAAGCGGCGAAAACAATATGGTACCACCTTTTTTGAGCCACAGCCATATCGCATATCCTAACCCTCAAAAAACGGGTAACCCTCAAACAAAAATGACACACGTTCAACAAAAAACAAAGGCATATCCTCCGCGCGTCTTTTTCCGGTGGAATGGCTCGAACCAAAACTGAGGCGAGGGGCTGCGCACTCCAAGCGGTTCGCCACCATGGAGAGGCTCAGCCGCATGGACTGCCTGGCCGAAGCCCCAAAGATGGGGAACCAGGATGTTTGTTTGTGCTTTTGCTTTCTTGTTTTGTGTTCTGTTTTTTTGCTTTTCCTGTTTTGTGTTCCTTTTTCTTGGTTTGTTTTCTTGTCTAGTTTTGTGTTGTTTTGGTTTTGTTGTTGTTGTGCTGTTCGTGGTTTTTGCTTGTTTTGTTTGTCTTTGTGTGCAGTTTATGTGGTTTTCACAACCCTGCAAAAAACGCAGCCCGCATGGCGTGCCCTTCTGTAATGTTGACCCCATACTCATCAACCCCAGCTTATCAATGTGGGGGTGGGGGCCCCTCCAAAAGTGATCTGATTCCCCACTAAACCCAGGGACAGCCCCATGTTCAGAAGGGGTGGTTGATATGGGGTCAACATGATTTTGTTTACAAAGTTATTGCTGTCGATTGAAAGGAACTGTGAAAGGACAAACGACACACACGCGCAAGACACGCATAGACTAAAGCTGGCTTTGTCTGTTTGGGCACCTGGTGTGTTGAGGTAGGCGATTGGTGTGCGGGGTAAAACGGACTGAGTTCAGCTGTTTGACCGACATCGTTTTCCGATCCTTTGGGGCAAAAGCTTCGGGTGGGAACCTCCTTGACCGGTTAAGGCTTCCTGCAAGGTTTCTTTGAGAGTCACCATTGGCAAGGCCACACGCAATCCAGGTGAATGACCGTAACTCACCACTCAAAATGACCCTTATTCACCATAATTCGCCAACCCAAAAGAAAGTAACTGCATCATGGAGTGTTCAGTGGACAAGTCCTCTTGGTGAGGTGGCGTCAAGACTGAGCAGGAGTCTTTTTGCGTGGACATGATGCCTGGTCCTAATGAATTTACCATCCAGATTGCAAGCCACCGAGTATACAAACGATTGTGACAGAGGAAACTTATTTTCCAAAGCCGCACATACCAGGTGAGTGGCAGGACAATTAGATCAGATCCACTTTGCCTGTGCTGTCTGGCATCACACGTGCTCTCCTGCCTTCTGTCAGGCCCAGGCAGACTCAGAGATGACGAGCTCTCACCTGCACTGACCCTCGAATCTCCGGCTGAAAACCCGCCAAGCTAAGACAAAAAGAGCCAACGCTCTAAAAGAGCAACAAAACGGGGCAACATTTAGACCACAAAGGCAGGAATCTGCGCACGCAACACCAAATATTTCACCAACCTGAACAAAGAAACCCGCAAGTAAGGGACCTCTGCATGCAGAGCTCGTTCTAACTCCTGAATCCGTGAGCCTGCCATGAATTAGCCAGAGTTCATGTTCAAGCAAGTTGCACGGAACCGCAGTCAACACATGAAAACATGGCTTGCCATGGCCATTCTATGTCCCATCCAAGCAAGTTGTATATATTTCTGTTGGAACATCCAAATCTTGGCTTCCTGGACAGCGAACAACATTTATTTGGATCCCTTCGCTCTACCTGCGGGATGGGGCACTTTAGGAGATATTGTCGACCTGATTCCAGCGCTGGGCGAAATTCGTTCAAACCACACTGGCCCCGTTCATGAAACAGAACTCGAACAGTGGCTCGAAAAATGGGTAAAACATACTCAAAAGGGTTGGCTCAACCCTTCCAATGCAGCAACGAGGGAAATCTAGACCATACACCCTGACCCCAGAACTCGGCAGGGTACAGCGATGTTCCAGGAGTTCAAGGGGTTAGGGAACCTGAAAAATGTCAGGATCTCGAATCTGCCCTTAAACGGCTCAATTACAGCCCTGCCACTGCCTGCTTAAACGCGAGGAATCCGTCACGATTCGTGTACGACGCTCGAGCTTGATGCAACTAGCAAACTAGCTTCTCCGAATTTAGTCACAACCCAAACTTTGTAATCGGGTTCTTGGCTGTATCTCTGGAACCAAGGGACGGAAGGTTGCCTATTCCATGAAACTGCGCATGCAGCATGCTTGACAGCGCTTAAGCAGTTGTAGCGCCAGTTTTCCGCAAGCTGCTCACCTTCCATGGGATTGGTGAAACTATGATGGCGCATGTGCGAGCAATTTGCAAGCGGCTCAATCATCCTGGCTGACACAATTTCACGCTCATGACAATGCACGAAACAAACAGTTTTAATGTACCTCCTTGTGTAACCACCTATCACAGTACCTCAAAAACGGGAGGGGGCATTTGCCATGTGTTCAGTCAGTGCAACCTTTGTTGGTGCTTCGTTTGCAGGAGAGAATAAGCGATTTGCGAGATGGTTGACTTGTGAAGCTGCCACATCATCGCGGATTGGTTAGTTCAACTAGTTTCCACTGTACATGGACCCTGGATTGTGTCCCAAGATACAAGCTGCGCTCGGGTGGCAGGTAAAAATGCAAAAATAGAAGGGGTGGCGGGCGGGTGACCCCCTGGATTTCTGCAGTCCCTTTTCATAAAGTTCAGTCAATAGATTGGGGTCACCCAGGCTACCCCACATCCCCCCAAGGGGGGATGAACCTTTACAGAAGCCGTCACGGCAAGCTGGCGAAGCGCGGGCAGCCAAACGAAGCTCAGCAAGTGAAGGGCCAGAATCTGGCCCACCCAGAATCTGGATGTGGGCCAATTCCATCCCTCCCGTTGTTTCCTCGTACTTAGTGTATAGTTGTACACTAAGCTCTCTCTTTGACAGGGTCCAGCTCAAGCACTTCTCAAAAGAATAGAACTCATAAGTTGCCCACTCAGCACTCGTTTCTGACCCCCGAACTCCGGCAACACAGAAGCTAAGCCCGGCAAGAAAGGAATCCACTTCCGATTTCTCAGCCGAGGCCTGTGCCAAAATTGGAATAAGTTTCGGTCCAAGGACTCGAGCCGAGCTCTCAGTCCTGGCACGGGCGATTGACTCACTTCCATGCGGCCCCCTCCTCCATGGCGTTGCCGATGGGGTTGCTGGAGACACTGGACAGGCCTCGATTTTGGCTTGAATGGATTGGTATTAGTATTGATAAGTCAAAAAACATATTGATGCACCAAACTACTACTGCTACTACTACTATTGTGGTTTAACATGGATATATAACGTCTAGTAATTACAGCTAAAATGGATATTAAAAGGATCTTACAAAATGGACTAAACGGAATATGACCTGCGCCGAGCTGGACAGTTTTCCCGAATGAGTAGCAAGGGGCTCCCGTTTGCAGGTGGGGTGATCGCGATGAGTTGTCTAGATTTCGCAACCGTCCTCAACCGTCCGTGATGTGGCGATGAGACAGTGCCGTTGGGGAAAGCTCAGAACAGGCGATGTGTATGACTTGCGTTCAATGTGTTGTTGCTTTTCTGTTGCACCTGGGGGTACTTTGTAGCTTTAGTGACGCTGCGCGCCGTTTCGTTGCGCAGGCAGTGTTTGACAAGGGTACGTGTTTGTGCTTCGCCGTGCCATTGGAATTTGCGGTGTCCTCCTTGCACGGAATGCGCGCGCAAACGTTTGTGCGAGTGTCATTTCCGTTGGCCCTGTTGTACAATTGGCTCGTTTCCGTGAGCTTCTAAGTTTTGTCCAAATCGGTCGAAATTAGTTTGGCGAAGCAGTCCTGGGCTAATTTTGGATACGCACGGTGAAGTTGTCAAGGCTAGATTTTGTGGCAGGCGCAACACTTTGTTCTAATTTCCTGCCACACGCAGCACATAGAGCGTTTCGCACAGCTTGCGTTGCAGGCGCAGCATGCGAGCGCAGGTTTCGTGGCGGCAATGTCTTTGGGGATGACGTTGGGCCGGTGTCTTTGGACGGGGTCTTCGTATGATTTGAGGGATGTCTTTGTGGGTGTCTTTTAGAAGCGTCAGCGGGAATATCCTTAGCAGCATCTATGGGGTCTCCGTTTACGGATTTCTTTTGGGGGGGGGGTTGCTGGAATATCTTTGGAGGATGTCGTGTGGTGTCTTGCAGGGTGGCTTTTGGGGATGTATTGAATCTTCTTTGATGATTTGTCTCTCGCACATGTCTTTGAACTTGTCTTTTGGGAGGTCCTTCGCAGGGTTTCTAGGAACGTGTTGGGCAGGTCTTGCGAGATGTCTTTGGGGATGACGTTGGGGGTAGTCTTGGAGGAGCTTGCGGGGGTGTCTTTGGATGTTTTTGGGACTTGTCTTTGGGAATGCTTTGTTTGTGCGGGTATGTTTGGGGATGCTTCTCGGGTCCGTGTCGAGGAATGTTTTTCGTGGTCTTAGGTTTTTGGAAGCGTTGGCCCTATACACCGGCCGCCTACGCGAAGCCTCCGCGGGCGCGTAAAGCCATGGAAGGGCGCCTACGTGGCCTGCGCGAGACCACGCAAGCTCACGCTGCGACAAGCGCCTACGCGGAGTGCCTCAGACTCTTCTCGGGCGCCACTCTTAAGCTTGTTTGAGGCAAATGCCTACGCACACTTGCCTATGCAGCAGCTTCCTGAACAGCCGCGCAGGGCTGCCACGGCATAAAGGGAGCCCTCTCCCCCGCAGAAGTACGAAGCGATTGCAAAACAGACCAACCGAAAGGGACAATCCCAAAACCAGTTTGCGCCGCCCTCACCACCCAAAAGTGCCTTTGAGAAGGGGATTCCTGACACTTGCACGACCCGAATCCCGTCCTGAAGCCATCCAAGTAAACATGAGACGTGCTAAGTCAAAAAGTCCACCTAATCAGAGATTAACCTTGGATCTTGACGGAAATGGGAACCTAACAAAAAATAACGGTAACTGTTGGGCATATGATTGAACAATATTGCTAGATTCGCCTTTTCGCCCTCTGCATGCAGGTCGCCGGCAGATTCGGAATTGAGGCGTATTCATGAGAAAACTGAAAAGCAGAAAAATAAGGTCAAGTTGAGAAAGTTCAATTTTCAAGGGCTCCATTTTGACAGGCAAGCAAAAAATGGCACCTCCTCAAGAGTATTCCTGTGCGCCTGCGGCAAAATCGAAGGCTGATCGCCCACGGAACATGCCGGAAACGCCCCAAAAGAGGAGCCCGCAGGAACCTTCTGATCAAAGGGGGGGGTAATAGACGGCTCTTGCTTGCCAAGCTGCTTTCATCCGAGGATGAGGTATCATATTGCTTGGCCTTGGGCTTGAGCGTGACAAAACAGGCTTCCTCTTCTGTCATACCAATATGCGTCAACCTCATGACTTGCCTCGTAATCACAGAAAGTGCACCAAGCTTCCTGCAACCATGTCATAAATCGGCCCTACAACCCAAGTTTCCCACAACCATGTCATCGATCTTCTGCTGAGACCTAATCAGAAGGCTTGGGTGTCGGTCCCCGACGCTCGGAACAACCCTTGACTTGGGGACATGCTTGACCTGGACATGTAAAGACGCCTGGACACTGGGACCTGCGAAGCCTCAATCGTTTCCCTGAGGCACCCCGCAGGGAATCCCAAGAACCAAACGCAACAACTTGCCCCGCGCCTTCCCACCCTTCCCTCCCAAACTGCCCAAAGGGCCCCCCATTTTTCCCCTAACACAAAGGGCCTTCCAAAAGGAAGAGTGCAAAACGCAAGGGGAAACATAGGGAACCCATTTCACGCGGCAACCCCTTCCCCGTCCGCCTGCGCCTGACCGGTGCGCAGGGCGTAGCGCCAGGCCACTGCCATGGAGATGAAACCCAAAAGGAAGGCCGCCCCCAGGAGCCAAACGCGGTGCGGTGTCTGCGCGCCTGTGGAAGCGGTTGGGGTGGCTGGGGAGGTTTCAAGGTTCGTGCTTTTGGATCAATGGGTTGTTGGAGCTTGAGGGTTGGTGGTTTCTGGGCGTACGTTTGCAAGTTTTGGGCGCTTGCTTGTGGAGTTTGGAGCTAGCATGCTTGCTCAGCTTGCTGTGTGTTGCTTGCGCGTGTGCCTGTGTTGTGTTCTTTGTGTAGCGGCATTCGGCTGCATCTTTAACTCGGCGTCTGAAGCCAGCAAAGTCAGCCCCCCAACTTGTAGGGAAATCCCAAGTCAACGGCGCGCTTCAGGAACAGAAATGAACATTGCACCCTCCAAAACGTGCGGCGTGTCCAGCGAAACCTGAAAGAACCTGCGATCCAGGTCACGTTACGCAGCTTTTGCGCTTTTCAATAGTCAAAAAAAGATCGTGCCGACT